TTGTTCCATGTTTCAAGTGTTTGATCTCGCGCATATTTGATGTATGTATTCTTCTTTTGTTTAGCTAGTTCTTTGACTTTTGGTGTAAACCATGGTGTTCTGTTGATCGTATTGATGTTTACATGTCTCTTTCAAATTGCTTCCATGGCCGCATCCAGTATGTTATTTTTTATTCTCTTCTATTGGTGATCTATGCTCACTTCGGTATTTACTGGATATTCGTACAGATCTTTAGAGCTGTCATCTTCTAATGATTCAACATTGAATTTGCTAATTATGCGGTTTAGGTTTTGTGGATTTTGCTATGTTCAGTCTCGTTTTGCAAAGTACCTTCTTGTGATTGTTTCCAGAGTTGGCGCCCTTTAGAGTTCTTACGTCCAATATTTTTTGGGGTACGACCTCTCTGTCTGTTATAATACAGTCTAGTAGGCAGTATTAAGCATGCATAGGTAAAAATACAAGAGGACAACAGTCCTCTTGTATTTTTCCATGCGATTTGAAATTTAATGTTATGTTCGCAGAAAGTGTTGTTAATTCTCATGTTATTGTTTTCACAAAATATTTGTAGTATCAGTTCAAGTTTAAGCCAATTTCTAAATGTTTTGGTCAGCTTTACCTTTGGCTTACCAAATGAACATTCCAGCTATAGAATAACGTTTTGAATGTATCTAAATTAGCTTGTTTTGACAAACCTCAAATTTCTGCAAATAAGAACCGATCAAAAATAAAAAGCATCTTCAAGAAAGCACGTGAGTCCCTTGTTTCCAGTAAATTTTACCTACGAAATACATTAACAATGTAAGACTTTAAGTTTGCAAATACTAAGTTGGGTTTCTTAGGCCGCAATCACCATTGCAAATTTTCTTTGTATTTTTCAAAGTTGTGCAAGCATGAAAGTGCAAGTTATCGTCCCGTATAAAATAACACTTTTCTATCATATTGCATAACCTCTGAGAATGTATTGCATAATACGTCGTTATTTTTTCTCATCGAATGCAAAGCCAAAATTGTTCTGTTTTTAGTTGTCAAAGAGCCTGAACATACAGCAAATTTTATGAAACAGCGTTGTATGAAAGATGAGTTAGTTACTGGAATTTTAGTCCTTAAAATTAAATGTTGATAGAATAAAAAATAAACCGCTTTAGTTAAAAAATAAAACATGTACGATTGTCCCACTTTATTTATGAACTTAAATGGGTCTTGCTATCTTCTTGTATTTACAAATCCTTAATACTGCTTTTAATCTTCCTGTTGATAATGTTCCAATATGTTATTAAGTTTAATAAATTTCCATTACTATAGACCAGATTTAGATTACGATAGAAGTTAAACTTCTTTACCGTTTGTTGCTTCTGCATTACAATAAAGTAATTATTATAATTTTTATTATTTTTGATTATGCTGTGATTTTTCTGCCACCCTGTATAGGTAAACATATGTTGATTAAATAGGTTTTTTGCATATTTTGGGATAATAAAAAAAGAAATAGCAAAATTTCCCGAATAATGAGCGCACTGCCGCATAACATTGAATACCAAATTGATGATACATTAAAGTTCCTTTTACTCGACCGTGGAATATAAAGAATGTCAGCCATTACTACTATGAACTCAACAGATGTATCAGCTAATCTGAGCGAAAACCTGCAGCTTGAAGCTTGAATAGGGCGCGTCAAACCATTCAGGAATAAATACTGAGTACCAAATCGGGAAATGTAGCTTGCAGAAAACCAGTTTTGTGCTTGTATGTTACTTGCGGCAAAAAGTTTTTGTGGCTGGAAAGCGACACAGATTTCAGCGCTTAAAATCGATTTTTCTTGTCCCTCAGAACTAATTTTCAAGCGGCTTTAATTAGAAAACTTAAAAATAAACTACTCAGATAATATTACAATTGGTTGTTTTTTATTGTTTTCAATTGGAACACGTTGTTGAAATGTGCCTTCATTTAGATAACTAAAGTTTTTTTAGATTTTACATTAAGTGTTGTTGCCTTTAGTTTATAACCAACACTTCGTCTTTTAAGCAGTTGGCCTTTTTCTCAAGTCCTCGCTACTTGAATTCATCCAACTGCATCAACATCTTTATGCTTTGACAAATATTTCAAGCAGCAACTGCCGGACGATTTGGCTGTGATTCTTCTTCAAAGGAGCAAATCGTAGTGGTAAAATTGATGTTTGTTACCGTGATGTTGCAACGAATATAACTCAGTTTTTTAATTCATCTTTTAACCCAAACAATCTTCAGTAATATGTTGTAAATAATATGGCCACTGAGCGATGCAATGAAAACAAAGATTCCTCATGACGCTGTCACCGCATTTATATAAGGGACTTTTAATCATAGAAACAGGGAGGACTATTATAAAAAAAGATAAAAGCAAATTCCACAAAAGCACTCTTTGGATAGACGAATTAGTTCGGCCGTAAAATATGTTTCTTTCATTGAAAGCCTAAACTGTCAGCTTCTCAAAGCAACGTAACGGAGCAATTTTTCCCACACATCTAGCTTTAATCCTATTATGAAAGGAAAGTTTTAACCTTTTGCATCGCCTGCGGACACTTTGTGTTATGCACCAGGCACCCTTAAATATTTACTAGAAACTATACCGATAATTTATAAAATATATGCAAAAATAATTGTTATGGGTTATATATCAAAAACATGTTGTTCACATCCTCCAGCAGCTAACGTTGAGAAAAATTATGGCCAACTCGTCCTATTAAAAAATAAAGTTATAAACAGTTTAATGATGAAAATAAGTTCAGATGGAAGGTAAACCACGACTGAAGCTGTTCGTAAGACCTGCTGAATCAAAAAGTCTTGGACTCGGCATCAATTTTAGGCTTAAGAAGTGTGAGAAGACTGATCTTACAGAAACTAACTCAATACAGGGTGTAGTTTGCGCGAAAATATTAAATACTAAATTCTTACAATTTACAAACACATATTTATGTTCTTGGATTTACCGGTCAATAGATAGTGCCATAAAATAAAAACACTATTTTCCTTGAGCCAACGTTTCGGCTATATTTAAGCCAAGTGCATATCAGCCAATTAAGCCAAGTGCATAGTGCGTGTCTTAAATACAGTAAAATATTATCGTAGTCGTTATTGCAAGATATTCACTTGGTCACTAATATTAAACAAAAGAAAATACAGTCCATAATAAGAGTAAAATCAGCTCTAAAGTACAAAGGACTAATGTAAAATTATTTCACATAAAATTTTAAAAAAAATGAGTAAACAGCTTCGGTGATTTCCCCTTTTTCCTTTCCCTATAGGTTCTTATTTTTTATTTTCTCTTTCTTATTTTCTCAGTAGTCTATATTTAGTATTTTCACTTAGTTAAACCTGCTATTAATTAAACCTTAATTTAAAGAAATATTAGAAGTTTAGAATTGTGAGTGAAGATTAAATGACCGTAGTCAGTTTAGTATTTGTGAATGTATTAGTATTTTAGTTTAATTTAATTAATTATATCCATTTTTAATCTTGGCGCGATTTTCTATGGAATGTGCCAGAAAATGTTAGAAAGAAGATTAAATTAAACATTGATCCGATTTCCCGCATTTTGGTTTGATCGAAGTTAAAGGTCAACCGGGTATTCGTCAGACGAGTTACCTTTTCACTAAACATACTGGTTCTTCGAGCCGGATTTGACTGAATTAAACTCTTCTTGCAGTAAACTTAGTAAAACTTACATTTACATTGACCTATAGTATCTTTAATTGAACTTCGTTCTGTTAAAAAAAAACATAACTATTATAATCATGGATGCTGCATCGTGCAAAAACACACTAAGTTCAATTAAGAGACTGATTACCGGGATAAATGATACATACAAATGGTTTCATATAAATATTGACGCAGAAGACAGTTATATTTTTCAATTAAAAGCTGATCACTTGCAATCAAATTATAAAAAATATGTAAACATGTTAGACGACATAACAGCATTAAACGGCGACAATTTAATAGCTGAGTGTATCGCGATGGACAATAAATACTGTGAAACTCTTGTAAGGTGGAAACGTAAAGTTGATGGACTTAAGGCTGCAAGTGCTACAGCTCAGGCGCCTTCACTACAGCAAGTTAGTTCAATAACTAAACTTTTAGAAACTAGTATACATTTATTTTCTGGAAATTTTTTCTTATGGAATTCGTTTTTTGAATTATTTCAAAACTTAAAAATAAAGGATCCTGGTTAGACATATCTCAAAGGTGAAAGCGTTGGGTTAGGTTAGATTTTGTAAACAGTCTTCAATTAAGTAACAATACTTTTAAAATTGCTCTCAATACGCTTAAAGGCCTCATTTAAAACACTTGATGAAGTTCCGATACAGTGAAAAACTAATTATTCAGTGTTTAAGCTCCATTATATGTTTAACCCACGGTTCACTCCTTCCGTTTCACACACTACACGACATTTAATTTTGGTTTAAAATCAAATTTAATTTCAAGTAAGAAATTTAATTTTAGTAAGTGAAGCTTTGCATATTGCAGGTATATTATTTGGACAAATACTTTATGTATGATTATACAAATACAAAAATTGAACACCATGAATGTGTCCATTTATCTTGACTGGCTTCAATTTCATTAAAATTTGATAAAGGTCCACGAATATGCACAACAAATACTTGTTGCCAATCCGATATATTGTACAGTGCACCTCAAATTTTACGTATACCTTCAATACTC